TAAAGAAGAGGGGGAGGATGATGAAAAAGAGAAACAATTAACCTAAAAACAAAACAATAGAGACACGTGTCAGTCGGCTCCAGCCGTTTGTGGACACAATGGGCAATCATTCAATAACAGAACCAACTGTTGCAAAGCAGCCAGGCCTGCCCAGCTTTCAAATGATGTTGTTTGATCTAGTTTGTTTATGATTCAGCCAATGAGAGAGCAGGAATAAAGGTCAGCTGTGTCCTCTCGCTCACACTTCAGCCTTTTTATGCTGCAAAATTGCAAAGGGATATTATGTCCTGTAACAGAAAACACTCCTGCTACAAAACCACTTTCCCTGATGACTGATCACAATCCAATCTAAAATGTTCAGGCTGGCACTACATGACCTGGAGGAGGCAGAGAGAGATTAAGAGATGTGTTTTTGCTCGATACATTATTATTCTGACTGAATAATTATTATTATACAGGATTTATATAGCGCCGACCGTTTGCTCAGTGCTTTACAATATAAAGGGAGACAATATAGTTCAATACAAGAGGGATAGGAGGGCCCTGCTCCTTGGAGCTTACAATCTAGGAATAAAGAGTTATATGTTCTTTTTAACAATTTTTATTTCTGTATGTTTGATGACTTACATTTTAGTTGAAGCAGATATAGACCAGAAATTAATGCTTCATAGCAAATACAGTGGGGATCGAAAGTTTGGGCACCCCAGCTAAAAATTTGTATTACTGTGCATAAAGAAGCCAAGGAAAGATGGAAAAATCTCCAAAAGGCATCAAATTACAGATTAGATGTCAACAAAAGTTAGATTTTATTTCCATCATTTACACTTTCAAAATAACAGAAAACAAAAAAATGGCGTCTGCAAAAGTTTGGGCACCCTGCAGAGTTAATATGCCCCCTTTGGCAAGTATCACAGCTTGTAAAGAGTCTTTCAATTCTTGTTTGAGGTATCTTTGCCCATTCTTCCTTACAAAAGTCTTCCAGTTCTTTGAGATTTCTGGGCTGTCTGTCACGCCTGCTCTTTTTAAGGTCTATCCATAGATTTTCAATGATGTTGAGGTCAGGAGATTGTGAAGGCCATGGCAAAACCTTCAGTTTACGCCTCTTGATGTAATCCCCCGTGGATTTTGAGGTGTGAGGATCATTATCCATTTGTAGAAGCCATCCTCTCTTTAACTTCAGCTTTTTCACAGATGGCATCAAGTTACCATCCAAAATTTGCTGAAATTTTATTGAATCCATTTTTCCTTCTACTCGTGAGATGTTCCGTGTGCCACTGGCTGCAACACAACCCCAAAGCATGATTGATCCAACCCCATGCTTAACAGTTGGACAGAGTTTCTTTCATTAAATTCTGTGCCCCTTCTTCTCCAAACGTACCTTTGCTCATTCCGGCCAAAAAGTTCAATTTTAACCTCATCGGTCCACAGAACTTGTTTCCAAAATGCATCAGGCTTGTCTATATGTTCATTTGCAAAGTTGCGATGATTTTTGTGGTGAGGACGTAGAACAGGTTTTCTTCTGATGACTCTTCCATGAAGACCATATTTGTACAAGTAGTACCACAACTCCAGTGTGTGCCAGATCTTTCTGGAGGGATCGTGCAGTTGATAAAAAGGGAAATATGTATACGAGCGCACCTATTTGTAGCAGCTGTACATCAGGTAACCACACACCCTTAAAACAATAAAAATCAAAAATGCAGCGCTACAGAACCAAAGTATTTAAATGAAAGCAAATGAATGATTCAAATGAATGAATAAATGAACCAATAAATAACTGAATAAACGTAACAGTTCATGAAATAAGGTGACTTTTAGTGTTCTCCTCTATGTCCTGTCCTTCTGATGCTCAGGCGAAGTGCAAAATAGTGCTGAAAGAATGCACACTCACCAGAACGCATGGGGAAATGAGCGTTTTTTATCAATATATGTTCCCCTTAGAGTCATCAGCTCGTCAGGATAGGGTAGTATGCTGGCCTCCCTTCAGAGCTCCTGGATACTCCTGTGTGATCCCTTGGCAGGTAGCCTATGGCATGCGTTCCTTACCCAGCGGAGAGATGAATGACTGTAAATAAATACTCCCCAAGGGAGTCAAAAACAAGGACGCCTCCATAGTGTAGTAGGTGTGTATTTAAAAGAGGGTTTATTATACAACTCAAGCATCCGAGATACACGGCAGTGTATATAAAACAACGGACTGACCGTCCACTAGTAAAGATGGCCGCCGGAGCTCCACGATGCTCCGGCGGCGTGACGTCACGGCGTTCCTGGCTCCTCCTACGCATTTCGTGCACACGCACGTCGTTTGCCAAATTTGCCAGATTTGGCAAATCCCCCCAGACGACGTGCGTGTGCACGAAACGCGTAGGAGGAGCCAGGAACGCCGTGACGTCACGCCGCCGGAGCATCGTGGAGCTCCGGCGGCCATCTTTACTAGTGGACGGTCAGTCCGTTGTTTTATATACACTGCCGTGTATCTCGGATGCTTGAGTTTTTAATAAACCCTCTTTTAAATCACCTACTACACTATGGAGGCGTCCTTGTTTTGACTCCCTTGGGGAGTATTTATTTACAGTCATTCATCTCTCCGCTGGGTAAGGAACGCATATCCATAGGCTACCTGCCAAGGGATCACACAGGAGTATCCAGGAGCTCTGAAGGGAGGCCAGCATACTACCCTATCCTGACCAGCTGATGACTCTAAGGGGAACATATATTGATAAAACGCTCATTTCCCCGTGCGTTCTGGTGAGTGTGCATTCTTTCAGCACTATTTTGCACTTCGCCTGAGCATCAAGGACAGGACATAGAGGAGAACACTAAAAGTCACTTTATTTCATGAACTGTTACGTTTATTCAGTTATTTATTGGTTCATTTATTCATTCATTTGAATCATTCATTTGCTTTCATTTAAATACGTGGGTTTTGAATTGTTTTTCTCACAATCCTGCGAGCTGTTCTGTCTGATATTTTTCTTGGTCTTCCAGATCTTGCTTTAACTTCCACTGTTCCTGATGACTGCCATTACTTAATTACATTCCGAACAGAGGATATTGACATCTGAAAACGCTTTGCTATCTTCTTATAGCCTTTTCCAGCTTTGTGAGCGTCAACTATTTTCAGTTTCAGTTTTCTAGACAACTGCTTAGAAGAACCCATGGTGCTGATTGTTGGGGCAAGGTCAGATGAGTCTGGGCATTTAAAACCTTTGAGATTGACATCACCTGATCTTCCCAGACGATGACTGAGAACAATCCATGACACTGGCAGGTCTCAGCTTGGCAAAGGGGGCAGTGCATGCTATAAATTCTGCAGGGTGCCCAAACTTTTGCAGACGCCATTTTTTTGTTTTCTGTTATTTTGAAAGTGTAAATGATGGAAATAAAATCTAACTTTTGTTGACATATTATAAGAATGTCTAATCTGTAATTTGATGCCTTTTTGAGATTTTTCCATCTTTCCTTGGCTTCTTTATGCACATTAATACAAATTGTTAGCTGGGGTGCCCAAACTTTCGATCCCCACTGTACCTGTAAAATGGATCATCTAAAAATGCTCAGATGTGTTTTGTTTATTTGTGATGAATCGATATACCATACCGATTCTAGTGATGTTCAATAACCCACATCCACATCTGCTTATCAATCATTTGTAATGAAAGTTTTATACTAGAAGAGCAGTAAACTCAAAGATATAGATTGGAAATGAAGATTGTGTTCCACGTTTCCGTATACTATATGAAACAATACACGGTTGATGCATTCTCAATACGATTAATATAAACAGAGAATGCATCGGCAGTACAGTATACTGAACCTTTTATGATGTAGTTATACAGCTTTAGGCATTCTGGTAGTAGATAAAAGGCTAAATAATACAGATACAGAAAATCATCATATTCAGTTATATAGCAATATAGAGAGAGAAGTAGGACTGAGAGCCCTGCCTTGTGTAAACTTGCATAATGTATAATGAAGCTGGGAGAGTAGGAAGCCACAGCAGTCTGTCTGACTGATCCTTTTAGGCTCCATGCATACTAGTGTTTTTTTAAGCTCCTAGAAGCAGAAGCTATTATGAGCATTTTTTTTAGAATCTAATAGTGTTATCCTTTGTGTCCATGCACACTATTTTATGCTAGAAGTGTTTTTCAAGCTTCAACGTTTAGGAGCAGAAAAAAAATGTTTTTTATAGAGTTTTTGGGAGTGCTTTCCCACAGAAAAAAACGCAGAATGCTCCTAAACGTTCCTAAACACCTCTAAATGCTACTAACAGCTTTTTTTTTTTCATGTACTGTAAACACGCTAAAGACGCTAACGCTCCTAAACACTTCTAAATTCTACTAAAACGCTACTACATGCTGGCACAAAGTGTTCATGAAGCCTTAAGGAAAATAGTTAAAGTATGCACTTTCTTTTCAGATGTGTATCACTATCACAAGGATATTTTTATTTATTTATTTTTAATAAACATGGTTGTTTCATTTCGGTATTTTTCTTTACCTTTTTTTCTCAATGCTTGCAGACTTACAGCTTCAGACACTTCACAACTGCGAGATGATGACCTTCCTAACGACTTACAGTCTTTGTCGTGGCTGACATCTGTGGATGTACCTAGGTTACAGCAGATAACCACTAGCAGGATGGAGTACAGCCTTCCTTCACAGAACTCGGTCATACAACAACCAGGTATATGGAGTGTAAAATCTAATCCAGCTGTATTAAATGATGCCTGTTATGTGACCGGTTATATTTTTATATCTAGGTCAGCTGACCAGCGCAGTGCCTGGACAAATGATTCATATACCTGCCAGCTTGCAGCAAAGCATTCTAGGTCTTAATACCATGAGTCCACATGGATCTAATGTAAGTGGTAATATGTTGCATCTGCATCATAGCAAATTTAATTTTTTTATGTACACAGGTATTAATACTTTATTTTTCATTAGATGAACCAATTCAATTTGAGTGGACATTTGTCTCCTGGTATTCAATCCCAGCAGTCTCTGTACCAACCCCATTCTCAACAAATCTATGCACTGTCTCAAGGTCCTCAGCAGGTGAGTTGTTTTACTTGTGTGAAGGTTTATGATTGCCCCTAAACAGAATCTGTCTGGACTATAATGTGGGAGCTGTCACTAATGCTTTTGAAGGTGTATGACCTTGCGCTGTCATTTTTATCTTTGCTTCATTATACTTACAGAATTACATAGCCAAAATTACAGTAGCATATATTTATCAGGTGTCCCAACACCTGATATGCACATTTGATCCAGGTTAGTGACTCACCAAAAAGTGAAGTTTGATCAGGATGACAACCCTGAGGTTTGCACACTCAAAAAGGAATCATCAAAGGCAGCCCCAGTATTTCAGTCCTGACAGCTTCCATTTAATTAACTTTCAGACACTTTGAAAGATCCTTCTCCACCTATAGTCTACTTATCTCAGCACAGATTGGTAGAGAGTAGGCTAATGTTTTCCTGTCTGCCCAGCTGTCTTATGGATAATACCTTTTCTAAAAGGGCCATTCACATCTATGAGTTTTATTTCCAAGTTAACACACACGCTTTTACTATTCTATCATTTTAATAGTGCTAGTTCACTTCTATTTAGTGAGTTGACATGAAAAGGGTTCGTGTCAGTTTTCTGATGCACCGTTGTGCATTAAAGGACATATTTAACCAATTCAATACCGGGCAATTTTACACCTTCATGCCCAGGCCAGTTTTCAGGTTTCAGCGCTCTCACACTTTGAATGACAATTGCGCGGTCATACAACATTGTACCCAAACTAAAAAATTTTACATTTTCTTCACACAACTAGAGGTTTCTTTTGGTGATATTTAATCACCACTGGGGTTTTTATTTTTTGCTAAATTAACAAAAAAAGACCAAAAATTTTGAAAAAAAAAAAGTTTTTCTTTGTTTCTGTTATAAAAGTTTGCAAATAAATAATTGTTCTTCATAAATTTAGGCCGAGATGTATTCTGCTACATGTCTTTGGTGAAAATAACCCAAATTAGGATGTATTTGTTAGTTTGTAGGAAAGTTATAGAGTTCACAAACTATGGTATAGATCTGAATATTGATCAATCCTGAAGTACTGACAGCCAATCTAATTTCTTGAGGTCCAAGAATGTCAGAACAGTACAGATATCCCCCAAATGACCCCTTTTTGCAAAGTAGACAGTCCGACGTATTTCATAAGAGGCATGGCGAGTTTTTTGAAGTTGTATTTTTTTTGTCATAATTTTTCGGAAAATGAAAAAATGAAAAAAATTAGTTTCACTATTTTTTTTTTTTTACATATTGTCACCAGTGCAGTACAGCGTCATCATATAACTGGCATGGCGGTGATCAGGGACACTGACTGGTGACAGTATGAAAAAAAATATATATATTTTTTTTTTTTCTTTTTCTTTTTTATTAAATTTTTTTTTTTTTTTTTAATTTTTTTTTTTTATAATAATATTTCACTATGACCAAAATAGTACAAGGTTACCATAGTAACCTTGTACTACTTTGGGGAAGTGATCAGTATTTTTTATTTTTTTTTTTTTACACAATTTGCTTATAGCAAAGAATTACTTTGCTATAAGCAAGCATTTACCTGAATGACATCGATTCATTGGGTTTTTTTGTGCTTAGCTGTGATTTGTCACAGCTAATCACATGAAATGTGCATGTGATTAGCTGTGACCATTCACAGCTAGACACTAGTATACAATGGATGGCATGAATGAAGCCATCCATTGTATACAACTGTCATGTGACCTGCTGTGATTGGTCACAGCAGGTCACATGGTACCGGCAACGGGGGCCGATACTGAGATCTGTCATCGGCCGTGTCCAAGGTACACGGCTGGTGACAGATCGCGCTGCTCTGCAGGAGCGCAATATGCGCATGTGCGGGAGGACGCCATATGGTGTCCACCTGAAACGCTGATGACATTTGCCACCCGCCATTCGGCCATAGGGCGGGCGGCAAATGGTTAAAAGAAATGACAACACAATCCCAGCAGATGCATACAGTGAGGAACAGAAGTATTTGAACACCCTGCGATTTTGCAAGTTTCTCCCACTTAGAAATCATGGAGGGGTCTGAAATTCACATTGTAGGTGCATTCTCACTCTGAGAGACAGAATTTTAAAAAAAAATTCAGGAAATAACATTGTATGATTTTTAAAGAATTTATTTGTCTTGCATTGCTGAACATAAGTATTTGAACACCTAAGAAACAGCAAGAATTCTGGCTCTCAAAGACCTGTTACTGTGCCTTTAAAAAGTCCACCCTACTCCACTCATTAATCTGATCTCTTTAAAGACACCTGTCTACCCCACAGTCAGTCAGACGCCAACTACTACCATGGGCAAGATACCAAAGAGCTGTCAAAAGACACCACAGACAAAACTGTGGACCTCCACAAGGCTGGAAAGGGCTACGGGGCAATTGCCAAGCAGCTTGGTGAAAATAGAGCAACTGTTGGAGCAATTGCTAGAAAATGGAAGAGGCTAAAGACGACTGTCAGTCTCCCTCGGACTGGGGCTCCATGCAAGATCTCACCTCGTGGGGTATCATTGATAAGAAAGGTGAGGAATCAGTCCAGAACTGCAAGGGAGGAGCTGGTCAATGACATGAAGAGAGCTGGGACCACAGTTTCAAAGGTCACTGCCGGTAGAACACTACGCCGTCATGGTTTCATATCACGCATTGCATGGAAGGTTCCCCTGCTCAAGTCATCACATGTCCAGGCTTGTCTGAAGTTTGCCAATGACCATCTGGATGATCCAGAGGAGGCATGGGAGAAAGTCATGTGGTCAGATGAGACCAAAGTAGAACTTTTTGGTCTAAACTTCACTCGTCGTTTTTGGAGGAAAAAGGATGAGTTGCATCCCAAGAACACCATCCCTACTGTGAAGCATGGGGGTGGTAACATCATGCTTTGGGGGTGCTTTTCTGCAAAGGGGACAGGATGACTGCACTGTATTAAGGAGAGGATGAATGGGGCCATTTATTGTGAGCTTTTGAGCAACAACCTCCTTCCCTCAGTCAGAGCATTGAAGATGGATCGTGGCTGGGTCTTCCAAAATGACAACGACCCGAAGCACACAGCCAGGATAACGTAAAAAGCATATCAAGATTTTGGAGTGGCCTAGTCAGTCTCCAGACCTAAATCCAATAGAGCATCTTTGGAGGGAGCTGAAACTCCGTGTTGCTCAGCGACAGCCTCGAAACCTGACAGATCTAGAGGAGATCTGTGTGGAGGAGTGGGCCAAAATCCCTGTTGCAGTGTGTGCAAACCTGTCAAGAACTACAGCTTTGACCTCTGTAATTTTAAACAAAGGCTTCTGTACCAAATATTAACACAATACCAAATATTAATACAAATAAATTCTTTAAAAATCATACAATGTGATTTCCTGAATTTTTTTTGAATTCTGTCTCTCAGAGTGGGAATGCACCTACCATGTGAATTTCAGACCCCTCCATAATTTCTAAGTGGGAGAACTTGCAAAATCGCAGGGTGTTCAAATACTTCTGTTCCTCACTGTAAGTGTATAGGTAGTTTAGCTCACTGAGTCTTATCAATTCGCTATATTGTCTAGGTTTTAACTACATATTTTTTCTGATAAAGGACTGTGATATATCAGTAGTATAAGATTTGTATTCATCAAAACTAACTTTTCTTATTGTATAAAATGCTTGCTGTTTTTGTCCTAGTGTTCCCCTGAGACGATGTTTAATGGCTCCTATAGGGCACAGCCGTATGCTCAGGCACGCCTGACAGCTCATGCTACGCAGGATCTGCACCCTAAAAACTACCCAAAACCTATCTATTCATACAGGTAAGTGAACTTCTCATTAAAGGTTATCATGCATTGTCATAAGTTTGTACGTCATTGATGTGTGTTCTTAATATATTGCTTCTTTGTAACAGTTGCCTTATTGCAATGGCCTTAAAAAACAGCAAGACTGGCAGCCTACCAGTGAGTGAAATCTACAGTTTCATGAAGGAGCACTTTCCATATTTCAAGGTATGTCAATCTAACTGAACAACAATAGTTTAGTTTCTAAAGTGTCTTCTTCTTCTTCTCTAAACAGTCTGCTGTTTAAGGGCCTCGTGTTATTATTAAAACCATAGAGACTTATTTTCATGATTTTGTCAGATAGTGTTTCATAGAATTTAGCATACTGTCCCATTTTCTAAAAAAAAAAAAAAAAACCCAAAAAAAACAGTGTGATCATTTTCACTTTTTGTTATAGTATTGTAGATATTTGTATTAAATTAAAATGGTGTAATGAATGTGTTGAAATAGGTGTCTTTCCATTAAAACCAGGGGAGTTTTATTTCATTATATAAATCTAATGCAGGTTTGAATTAATGTGTCTGAAAAATACTTATTCTCCCCATAACAACCAATTAGTTTTTAATGACAGACGTTATAGTTTTTAATTAAATAGGTAATTAGCATCACTAAGTAGGGGGCAGAGTCTTTAGTTTAAATTCCTGTGCTTGGTTGGTATCGGATTTTACTTTTTTGAATGTTGCTATTTGCATTAAATAAGTAAGTTACTGTTTAAACAGCTATCAACTGTACCTCATTTCAGACAGCGCCAGACGGCTGGAAAAACTCAGTTCGGCACAATCTATCTCTGAACAAATGCTTTGAAAAGGTGGAGAACAAGCTGAGTGGATCCTCCCGCAAGGGATGCCTCTGGGCATTAAACCCAGCTAAAATTGACAAAATGGAAGAGGAGATGCAGAAGTGGAAGAGGAAAGATCTGCCAGCAATTCGTAGGAGTATGGCTAATCCAGGTGAGAACACACAAATCAGGTCAGCGGGATAGGATCACCTAATCCAGTTTGTATATACAGTATGGCTTTTTAAATTTTTTATCAGTTCTGTAATGAGAAAAAAACGGGCTGCCAGCACATAGAGTAGAACTGAGACTTTCACATACAAGCTCTCCTGTGGTCCAGCATGCCCTCTGAACACTGCTATAATCAACATGGCTCTTCTCCATAAGGCCAGTGTTCAGGGGGCATGTCAGAGAGCTGGGCTATTGTGACCTTCCTAGTTTTGCCAGCACACTGACATTGGCTTAACTCTTGCAACAGCACTAAGCAGATAAAAATAAAAGTAATGCCCACAAAACGGTTGTACTTAATTGGACTGGTACGGAGACACTTCATATTTGGCTATGGAATAAGGTTATTAACCATACCTTATCATTGTACAAATTGACATATGAAGCTAGAGGATGTCCCAAAAAGTTTTATAAACTTTGGGGCCCTTTGTGTGATACTCAGGACACCAATTACTCTTTATTATCCCTGATATCAGACCCCATATGAGGAATTGTTATGTTATGTTGCTGGCCTAATATATATCTGTAGCTCAGCACTGGGATATCTATATCTCTTTGAGTGCTACCTTGACCAATGACCTACTTCCCTTCTCAGGTATAGGTGAATTCATTTTCTCTGCTAACCTGCTATATTGGGGTAAATGCCAAGTTCTCTCTGTTTGTGCACCTTTTTTCTTTTCTCTGATGTGCAAGATGTTTCTGCCAGTTGGTTTGTTCTGAGTTATATAAAACCATAAGTAATTGGCTTCTTACATATCTATACCTGTACTTTGTGTGCATCAGGTACTACTGCAACGACTGTACTACTTTTAATGGGGTATGTGATTTTATAGTACGTATATCCTGTTGGAGATTGCTTTTTATCTTATGATAATATCCCTGCTCTTTTTGTATACCGATTGATTGATTGATTGTTGCTATGTATACCTGACGTGCCTTTTACTCAATTAAAGCGAGTTTAAAAATAAATAAATAAAAGTAAAAATATGAATATTTTCATTACAGTATATGCAGCCTGGCTGACTTGCATAATAAAAGGTTAAATTGGGCTTTAAATACATAATAATAGTGCACAGCTCTCTAGTGTGATGGCAAAAGATCTTTTACAAACATGCATGTTCACTTTGGGTAAATGTGTATGTTTGTTCCTATAAGGAGAGAGAGTATTAAGCATATATCCCCTGTGCCAGTCTCTATCAGTAGAAAAAAACAGCTATTGACTTGAAAAAATAAATTGGACAGATAGACCCAATCTAAGAAGGCAAAGTCTGCTCCTGACAGGTATGGTATTTAGACGTGATATCAATGCTAAACTGACCGTATCAGGCAAGCATTTTGTGTGGCTGTAGGCATCATTTAATTCTGTTATTTTTTTTCTTTTTTTGCAATCAGGCTACTAAAATGTACAACTTAGTTTGCTGAAAATTGTTTACATACACTGACAACATAGTTTTCCCTTATTTTCTTTTTGCAGATGAATTGGATAGACTGATTATGGACAGACCTGAAAACTGCAAAGCTCCAACTAAGCTGACAGCTCCAGAAACGCCAACAATGACAAATGTTGGGAGCATTCCTGGAAGAATGCCTATTACTCAGCTACAGCCCCAACCAGTCATGACTTTATCCTTACAGTCCATACCTTTACATCGTCATATTCAGACTCAGGCAAGAATGGCATCAAGTTCTCCTGCGCCAGCCCAAAGTCCTCCACTCCATGTGGTACCACAGATGACACAGAGCCCACTACACCAGCACGTAATAGGCAGAGGTTCATCTGACTTCCTCAGCTTTACCACAGACATGAACACAGAGGTGGACTCACTTGATCCCAGCATCATGGATTTTGCTTTACAAGGTAAGATAAGTGTGAAAAGGTTGTAAAGATAGATAAACAGACAAACATGTTATTACCAAGGAATTTATTAATGTTTAAAGGAAGTCTGTTCACAATATACATTTAAATTTTAGAACATTAGCACTGTAATAGCAGTTCAAACAATCCAACATAAGCAATGCCACCTCCTGAAACGTTCCCTTCTAGCACCTCTATAGTTCAGAAGGCAGGCTCTGTGAATTCTGCGATGGAGCAGTGCCAATCACTTTGCTCATTCAGTGAAAAGTGACATTGTCTGTGAAAATACTCCCATCCTGCTGATACTCCTGTCTCCAGAGATGCCTCACTACTCCTGCATCTACCTCAACTAATGCATAATACCCAGTATTCTGGGTATAGGGGAGTATATGACGTTCTCCAATGTGGCATTGCTCATATCTCATGGCCAATTGCTAGGCCCAGAACATGGAGTGTGGGACATCATCACTGCCTCTAGGCTGCAACACCAGCTGAATCTTGGTACTGTGGTGTCATCTGTGGTGGAGGAAGCAGCTACGGCTGTGTTAGTAGAAAGGTGAGGGAGAGGGGAGTACCTGTCACAGCCACTGCCTCTTTGCACTGAAATGATAAAGTGATGTGCCTCTTTAACTTTCCCTCAGCACAGAGCTTTGTGCTGGATGCACTAATCTACATATTGTGGGTAGGAAGCGGTTGAAGTGGAACTAAACCCTCCTATTCCTTTCAGGGAAGGAAGCAGCCAGCTTAACCTCTGATTTGCTATTGCCATGGTGCTGCTCATGTGATCACTTATGATACCAGCCATTTCATGCTTTGATTGTTTGGTTGGGAGCACAAACAAATATGACAGTTTTAGCATTCCTGGCCTGCCCTGAATGTAAATGTTTTTTGAAACCACTAAATTGATGGGTTTAGTTCCACTTTAAGCATTCATTTCCAGCTGTCAGTTTTCAGGGGTAATTTAACCACTTCCCACCAAGTGGCTGCATATATGCAGCTCTATGTAAACACTTTTCTGTGCTGAGAGTGCAATCACAGTAACAAGTGGGTTACTGCAGTCACAGATATCACATGATCAGAATGCCCGCTTTCACCTCCCAGTATTTAGACCCTCCCAACAGGAAGGGGTTGAACAACCAAATTTGAAAACAGACTTCAAAAGCCCACACCTTGCATAATTAAACAAAAATTAATAATAAATCTGAAGCCCACAGCAGAAAACCTCAATACACAACTTCTGTAAAAATATCTGCCTTTACAGAGCTTCCACAGAAATTCTAATATATATTTATAGAACATAGAATATATAAAGACACACAGACACAAGATAAAAATACATTTATACCCACTAAAACCCAAGATACCCAAAATGATCTTCAAAACGTATATAAATACATCATACAGTATAAATCAATGAATCAACAAGACATATCAAATATATGGTTATTAATCATATAACTTTGTTTTTTCTTTTCAAGGTAATATATGGGAAGACATGAAGGATGAAAGCTTTAGTCTGGACACGCTAGCTGCATTTAGCAACTCCCCCATCCAGCTATCAGACTGTGACTTGGGTACAATTGGTCTGACACCAGTGTCTAGTAGCAGTGACCATTCCTTTACAGACTTTCAAGTCACCAGCCTGTACACTACATATGCAAATCTGGACAATGTGACACCTTCCCAGTGTGTGGCGGGACAGGGCAATAAACCCATTGCTTTGCTATAGGCCTACTGCAGACTGCACAGGCACCAGAAAAAACATCACTGAAGCAGAATATGAGGAACCAATATGTGCATTCACTTATTTTTTGCACATTGCAAGCGTTGCCTTTATTACCTGGCCTCCAATGTACATTTTATTTGTATCTTTTTATACCATTTATAAGCCATTCAGAATTAAAGTGGGCAAGCAGTACAGGATTTCTGCATCAAATGGGAAACAGTTTATTTTCCTAGGATGTATGCTACAATAGAACATTTCTGGTGATCTGTGAAAATCCCAATGACTCTGGTCATCCAGTCTTCTGTTATGAAAATGCAAGCTGCACTGAACTCAATATGGTTAATTGTTGCCAATAGGCTAGAAATAAATGTGACTTCAATAGCATTCAAAATTATATGGTTTTTAAAATTTAGTTTGCTGTCGAAGAGCCAATAGAACATGTTGCAGAGCAGTTGTGATACCTGTCTGACCATGTACAATATGATCATTTTTAATTCTGTCTCACCTGATACAATAATAATGTTTGTATGTGTCCAGTTTTACTATTTAGGGGTATTTATTCCCACCAAGTAAAATTAATTTTCAGAAAACACATGGAGCAATTTATGAGAGAGGGTGATATGCACCACTGCATTAATGTGTTCTTAGTTCATGTCTGTGAGAAGTGGAAATCAGTTGCCAGAACTGCAGAAGAAAAACTACTTTTATGAGAAGACATTTGCTTCAAAAACTGTTGACTTTTATTCCACAATTTAGGGGTATGTAGTAGTAAAAAAATGTCTCTTATTTAGTTATTAAAATACTTTTTTCTAGTTTGAATAAAGAACACTGTTTAAATAAGTATTACTAAAGACAAAAACTTTTGTTTAGTTTTGGATAGAGTGGAAAGGGATACGAAAACCTGTCAGGTTTACTTTGGCTGTTTTGCTCTCATTAGGTAAATTCGCCCTCTCTACTTGTCCTGTTTGCCATTATCACTGAGAATCAAAGTGGAAAAAAATTCCAAATTTTGGGTTGTCACCAGAGCAACAATAGAGGGGAAAACTTCCAATAGGGGCACTAGTTCTGTTCACCCTGATGACAATCAGGGATTCCCTCACTTTGGAAGGAATATTTCTCACTTTCTCTTTGGCTATGGGACAGAATGTGAAGAGATATTTCCCCAGTGGGGCACAGATGCCAAAAAACTGACATGGTTTGTAACCCTCCCTTACTCTATCCAAAATGAAAAAACGTTTTGTCTTTAGTTCTACTTTAAATAAAAAAATAATTATCAGTGACTCATGCAGGTAGCATGCAATAGGGAAGAGACAGCAGAGAGAATTAACATTTGGTGCATTATATCGAGGCCAGTACATTCTATCGAAGGAACACGCTCAAACTGTATATAGAGAGCACATCTTTTCCTGCTTCAGAATTCTGGAAAAAAAAAATTTTTAATCTGAGCATAAAACACATGCACACACTTTTATACAGGATATAACAACACTACCCCTAGAAAATATACATTATCTTTAAATGTTACCTTTTTCATTTTCTTTACATATTTCATGGTCATAGGTAAACTGATGAGCAAAATGATGAGCCATAGATTAATAACAGACATTTAATTACAGACCATGCACAGGTTTCATGTTTACAGTCATGAACAGAATTACCTCACAATGTCCTCAGACAGTATTGTGGTGTATTTTACTACCCTTCTACACAGGTAATAAGTGATAAACGCAAAGTCATTAAAGGGAAGAGCATTATATAACATTCATAGCTAAGAGGAGCTAAGCTAGTTTTACATTTAATATCAAGCAAATGAAGGATCCACATTTTATTATGTCAGCCAAGGAGTATAACATTAATAAAGGCTAGCTATGTCTATTTAAACATTAACAACAGGTAAACCGCCAAATCATTTATGTGAACTATGTTAACTGCTACAGTTTGTGCCATACATCCAGTTTTGTGAATCACATGCCATTGCTAAGCTGCAAGCAAGGAAAGTGAATACCCTGTTTCCTAGTGCAGCTTCCAGGGACACCTTTCCCCCTCCAACGTACTTATTGGACATGAGATCAGCATCATCATCTCTGTCCAGTGAGTAGGCAGCTGAAACAAGAAGCTGAACCAGGAATTCACAATGTGGCAAAGGTTTTTGGCCAATACGAGTACCTGAAAAAAAAAATGCACATTCTGTGACTTATTCTGTATCATTGTCCAAAATTGTTATACATTGCTTAGTTACCAACTGTTCCTCAGTCTTATTTGTATGTTAGTAGAGAAGGATGCATTTTTTTTACATGATGGTTTTTTTATATGTAATAATATTGTATTAGGCAGTATTATCTGTAAATTTATTTATATTTATTATTTTAAACAGACGTCTGTAATTAAGCGTTTAATTATTTTTGTTACTTGTCTCTTTGGTTCTTTGTTTAGTAAAGACCTCATTTAAAAATGGGAACAAGTTGTGTTTATTTTATTTACTTATAGACTAATAACATATTTTACACAAGAAAAGATTTTATGAATTCTATTTGGGCTGGCAACAATTTGAAACTTCTGAGAGAAGCTTGCCTTCTTCATATGGAGGTTTTTATTTTTAAACAGGTTTATTCGGCTTATGTCGGGTGCCATTGCATATCCATATTGGATCTGAAAGAAGGCCATTAGACCCTATCCTTGCCGTTGGTTCCTTATATAATGCCAGGATTTTACTCAACATATTGGGCCCAAGTCCCACTTCCTGAAGAGCATCATCAAGAAACTTCCAACGGACCCGATCGAACACCTTTTCAGCATCCACCGAAATCAAACAAACAGGAATGTGGCATTTTTGGGCTCTTTTTAAGGATATTATCCCTGGCTTCCCTTTCAGGGGTGAATCCCACTTGGTCTAAGTGTACCAGATTAGGCATTAAGGGCATAAGGCTATTGGCCAACAATTTAGAGTACAAGCGCATGTTAACGAAATAGGACGGTAGCTACCACAGAGAGCTGAATCCTTTCCCGGTTTAGGCAGGACAGTGATATGGGCCTGGAGGGTTTGTCACAGGAAAGGGGTATTAGAGGAGACTGCATTAAAAATTTTTGTGAGGAGCACGAGAAGAGTCTTGAAAGTATTTATAGAAATGAGTAGTGTAGCCATCTGGGCCTGGGCTTTTATTAGGTTTAAGTGAGGAAATCACAATCGCTAGTTCATCCTCTGAAAAAGGCTGCTCCAATTCCTGCACAACAGAGGCAGGGATGGTCAGGAGCGCAGTGACAGCAATGTACTCATCAAGTTTGGATTGCAAAGCTTCCGGAGAAATACCAGAGGGGTATTCCAGCAGGTTGTAAAGTGCATCATAAAATGAGTGGAGTAACCCGCTAATATCTTTAGGATGATGGACAAGCTGGCCAGGACGTTTAAGTATGGAAATAGATGCAATGCTCTGGCTAGCATCCTACCTGGTTTGTTACCAGGAGTTTGGCTCTGATGGACAGAGTCCATTGCTCAAAAAGTTGCAAATGTCGAGCATTCGATAACGCCATTTGAGTGGTCAGGGACTGGCACCGTTTATGAGATTGTTCAAGGTCAGAGATATGGAGCGTAAGCTCTTTAACTTGGGCAAGGCATTTGCTCTTTAGCCTAGACCCATATTTAATGAAGCACCCACAAAGTACAAATTTTAGGGCCTCCCACTGGATGGGGTACTGTCAGACTGATGGTCAGAGAGGAAATGGGTGATAGTGGTATTTCTGTGGAACATACTTTGTCTTGCAGTTAAGTCATTGAGTCTCCACATCCACTCATGGTCAGATAGGTCAGGTAGAGATAGGGACAAATACACTGGCGCATGGTCCAACCACAATACTGTATATTACCAATCCTACTTTGTGGGTGGAATGTTAAGGCAGAATGGCTCACAAGAAAAAAAAATCTAGGCGGGAGTAAAAATTATGGGCAGTGGAATAAAAGGAGTAATCTCCTTTAACCTCCCTGGCGGTATTCCCGAGTGTAGCTCGGGGTAAAGTTTCAGTACCACAAGCAGTAACCCCGAGCTACACTCGGGCTTACCACGTGGCGCTGCTCTGGGATCTGTTCTTCTCTTACCTTGTCCTGCGATGTCCCTCCTGCAGTGTCCCCGGCAATGTAATCCGGCAGATGCCGGCATCTGTCTTCTGGGTTTCCGACCCCTGCGACGTCGGGACGTACGGGGGCTGGAACCGGTGGGAAATTTGAAAGTGACAAAAAGTGACATTCACTAAAATCACATAGTAAAACATTACTGTATCAAACCATTTCATGTACATTTTGTCCCGAGTGCTTTGTCCTGTGCCCTGCCTACATTTTTACTGTTCTTTCTGTCTTGAAACTGAGAAACGTCCATGGCGTCCAAAAAGCGTCTCTTTAGGTCAAAAGCAGTTTTAGACCAGCTAGAGAACAGCGATAGTAAATCAGAACCAGTTGCAGAATTGAGTGATGATTCGTGGGGAAATTCGTCATCAGACACTGAAAACGATTTTGAGACTTTGCTCAGCGATGTGTGAACTTGGCGCTATATTTCAAATTTCAGTGTTTTTTTTGGTTTGATTATATTATTGAATTAAATTTATATTTTTTTAATGATTATTTATTCAATTATAATTTATGATTTCGTGTTTCAAATTTTAACATCCCCGGGATGTTTACTAGACTCTTGTTTGGACAGATTTCAGTGAGTTATTCCTAAAAATTAGAGGCCTACAATAAAAAAAAAATACATATTTCCATGCAAAAAAAATGTACCGCTTTGAGCACAGAAATATGGACATAATCAGACCACTAGGGAGGTTAATGTGCCAACTGACAACTCTTATGTCTAGGGACAACTTGGACTTTGCTGCAATTATTGAGACATGGTTTGAGGATTCAAATTACAGTGAAATAACAATACCAAGGCATACACGATGCAGCAAACATAGAGTAGGGAAGAAGGAAAGTGGAGTTGTCATATGTGTCAAAAATAGCATAAGGCTATTAATTCATTAATTAAAAAAAACAAATAAAATACTTAAACCCCTCTCGGTCTGACTTACAACCAGAGAGGGATCTTCCTTAGAATTTGTGTCTGTAGTATATAGACCCTCAGAACAGACCGAAAATTATGATAACTTATTGATTGACAAGATAACTCAAATGGTAATGAAGGGAAAGGTTTTAATTATAGGTGACTTCAACATACCTGAAATTAACTGGAATTCTCAAACTGTAATTGCAAGCAGGAGCAGGGATGTAATGGAGGCAATAAATGGGGTTTCTCTGAAACGGTTATTAAAACCCAACCCAAGATGTTCATATTCTAGACCTAGTACTGACAAATAGGGATGGATTGTCTGATTCTGAAGTGGGAGAAAATTTAGGCTCTACTGATCAACAATGCTATTAAAAGAACTGAAAAATCATATACAGCAAGATAACTTTTGGATTTCAAACGACAATTTTTCCTGGAATGGGGGAATTTCTAAAAAAAATAATTAAAACGTTAGCATAAAAACGGCAGGAGTCAGTAATTACAATCCTGGAGGCAACTAGATATGTCAGACAAACTAGTAAGAGTAAACAGAAGAAAAAAAAAAAAACAATATGGTTCACTAAAGAAATAAGATAGTAAGAGAGGAAAAAAATCAGCTTATAGGAGGTTCAAGGAAACAGGTGGTGTAGCTGAACCAAAGAGTATACAAATAGACAAAAGGAGGCCAAACTGTCAGTGCTGCCAAAGCACAGAAAGAGAAGCAAACCTTTTAAACAATTACTGATGTTCAATCGTCTGTGCAATAAATTGTACTAACAATAAAAAGGTAGGAGATCTTATTGGTTCTAGTAATGACAGCTCATTTTCAGGATTTCTAAAAATAGAGGTAGCAGAAGAACTGGTTCAGGTAAAGCTTAACAAAACAATGGGCCTTGATGGTATTCATCTCAGAGTTCTATAAGTGCTTCAAGGTATAGTAGTTGGACCATTAACAGATCTTTTTAATCAATCTCTTCTAACAGGAGAAGTTCACCAGGAGTGACGGATGGCTAATACTGTACCTATCCACAAAAAGCATAGCAAGGTAGAATCTGGTAATTACAGGTCAGCGAGTAAACCACTTGCCCTCTGGAAGATTTACCCCCTTCATGATCAGGCCATTTTTTGCTGTATGGTGCTGCGCTATTTTAGCTTAAAAAAAAAACTTCATACAACACTGTACACAAATGAATTTTTTTCTGTTTTTTTTTCCACACAAATAGAGATTTCATTGGTGATATTTGATCATCACTGGGTTTTTTATTTTTTGCACTATAAATGAAAAAAAACTGAAAATGTTTTACAAAAAAACAAAATTTTTTACATTTTGCTATAAAACATATCCAATTTAAATTCTTCAGGCCAAAATGTATTCTGCTACAAAGAAACCACAAAATGTATATTAATTGCTTTGTGTGAAAGTTATAACGTCTACAAATGGTGGTATATGTACTGGAATTTTGCATACTAGTAATGGAGGCGATCAGAGACTTATAGCAGGACTGCGACAGTATGGCAGGTATTCTGACACTAACTGACACTGGGTGGGAACTGTCACTAATGAAAAGCACTGACACTGTACTAATGACACTGGGCAGGAAAGGGTTAACATCTGGGGCGATCAAAGGGCTGTGTGTTATGGAGTGATTTAACTGTGTACTGTGTGGTGTTTTACTAGAGGACGTGCCATTTTTATTTCTTTGCTTTGCAGAGCAATAAAAATCTGCACGTTCCTGCTGACAGGAGAGAGATCTGTGTTGTTTACACAACTCTGTCAGCTGCTCCACCGATCGCCGAGTCCCGGCCATGGATCGCTGGTGGGGACCCAGTGATTGACACCTACAGGAGCCAATGACAGCACGGGTAAGATGGCGTGTGCGCCCCTACCCAGAAATGTAGAATCACTTATACATACATGATTTTGTGCAGAGCGGCTGCTGGTAAAACTGCTACAGGGTGGCCGGCAAGTGGCTAACATCTGTTGTAGTTATTCAGAGGAATCAGAGTAACCAAGGTACAGGATAAGTAAAATGTATCCAAGTTTATTTAAACAAACATAATTAAACTTACATTGAGGTAAGTGGAGAGCAGCTCCAAGGTTGAGGGTGAACTTCCAATACACAGCAACACAAACCAGCGGAGCAATGAGCAGGGTGATGGAGAGAAGGACCCACCAATAACCATGCCACCAGTTGCATCTACATGACCTCCCTCTGACACTCACTGCAACTACCAATACCGGGAAGTTATCAGGCACAGTGCGTTTTGGTGTTCCCGCCAATTTTTCAGAGGCTGCCCGCTGAACGGTAAGAGACCAGCGGGTGGAGGTGGAATAATATTGGAGCTACAGGGGACAACGCTTTTCCCGCGTAGCTTCAATACTACTCCTCCTTCACCTACCATCCCTTAACAAAGTCCCAATTCCCTTATATAGATCTTTAGTTAGACTTCATTTAGAATAGTGTGTTCAGTTCTAGAGACCTAATTTACAGAAATATATTGATAAAATAGAACGAGTTCAGAGACAAGCAATAAAATGGTGAAAGGTCTCAGGGATAAAACATCAGGAATTTATAGCGGAACTTTACCCATAACAACTGGATAAAAAATAATGTTATTTAGCAAGAAACATACATTCCACATTAATAATTATTCTACCAATTTACTGTGTGCTGTAAATAGCCTCCAGCATTGTTCCTGTTTCTTCTTGTTGGAGGTTGCCATTTTGCTGCAGCCCAGAGCCCCTGAGCAGCTGTAAATTATTAGCCTGTTAGCAGATCGGTCTGTACACTTTAGGGACAGTGCCAAAATATAGAGAACAACTGAGCATGTGCAGAGCGGGGCAGAGTGTATTACTGGATTTTAAACAGTATAGGTATTTATTTATAAAGTTTTACATTGCTATACCTGCAAAAAGGGGCCAGCCGGAAGTGATCTGACAGGACTTACATTTTCTGACTAAAGTTCCACTTTAATATATACAGTTTGGAGGAAAGAAGAACTCCAAGAAGACTGGGAGACATAACTGAAACCTTTAAAAGCAGGGGTGTCAAACTGGTGGCCCTCCTGCTGTTGCAAAACTACAAGTCCCATCATGCCTCTGCCTTTGGGAGTCATGCTTGCAACTGTCATTCTTGCAATGCCTCATGGGACTTGTAGTTTGGCAACAGCTAGAGGGCTGCCAGTTTGATATCTGTACTTTAACCGCTTGCCGCCCTGCCACTGTATATATACGTGTGCAGGGCGGCACTCAGGCGCAAAACCACGTTTTAAAACGGGTTCCGCGCTCCCAACGTTTTCGCCGGCAGGGGGCGCAGGCGGGTGACACCATTCGATCCCGGAGGGATCAATCATTAGATTTCAGCCAGTGATGTCTAGCTGAAATCAGATGATCGGTCCCTGTCCTATCCTGTCCTGTGTTGAAGTTTACACAGGACAGGATATGATGTCATTCTTCTCTGCCTGGACACATTCCGTTCCAGACAGAGAAGAAGAAACAGTAAAAGTGAGTAAAACACTACACATTTACAGTTAGAACACACCTAGGTCACATTTAACCCCCTGATCGCCCCCCCCCCCCCCAGTTAACCCCTTCACTGCTCTGTCACCAGTGTCACTGATCAGTGAACCGATTTTTACTGATCACTGTATCAGTGTCACTGGCGACTTCCGATTGTGTTAGCGCCCCTCCCAGACAGCACCAGATTGCCCGCCAGTACACCAGTAATCCCATTTAACCCCTTGATTGCCCCCCCCCCAATTAACCCCTTCACTGCCCTGTCACCAGTCACTGATCAGTGAATCGATTTTTTTGCTGATCACTGTATCAGTGTCGCTGGCGACTTCCGATAGTGTTAGCGCCCCTCCCAGATAGCGCCGGTTTGCCTGCCTGTACACCAGTAATCCCGTTTAAAACCCCTTAATCCCCCCCAGCTAACCCCTTCACTGCCCTGTCACAAGTGTCACTGATCAGTGAACCGACTTTTACTGATCACTGTATCAGTGTCGCTGGCGACTTCCGATAGTGTTAGCGCCCCTCCCAGATAGCGCCATAACACCAGTAATCCCGTTTAACCCCTTGATCCCCCCCCCAGTTAACCCCTTCACTGCCCTGTCACCAGTGTCACTGATCAGTGAACCAATTTTTATTGATCACTGTATCAGTGTCGCTGGCGACTTCCGATAGGGTTAGCGCCCCTCCCAGATAGCGCCAGTTTGCCCGCTAGTACACCAGTAATCCCATTTAACCCCTTGATCGCC